AACACGACATAGGAGCCAAAACATTCTCATTAGTAACCTAAGGCAGTGTCATTAATTTCAGCAGTTCGGATCAGTGTTTGAGTTTAAAGTGAAGGTATAGGCGTATGTGTTTGTGCAAGGAGAATTACTAAAATATCAAAGAATGTCAACAACAAAGCAGCCCGTCTCTGAAACTGTCCACCTGCTGAACACGTGCAAACAGTCGGTAAAGATGAAATTGACAGAACCTAAGTGTCCAATCGCAGGGTTATTTGGGGTCTCGAAGTTGAACTGGCTGCATTTTGCAGCACGGAGACCATGGCCACTTCGATTCAGATCACGTCATTTTTCATTATAAATATGCCAACTGAAGCAAATGATCATCAGATCAGTTTGACCCCAGTTCTAGCAATGCTGAATTGTTAGTTTCATCGCTGCTCAATAGTCTAATCATAAATCACGCAGTCACCAATTTGATTTAGATTTTTTGTTACATTTGGAGGACCTTTGCCCACACCGTAACGTAAGAGCTGTCAAACTGATATTAGGCCTGAACATACATAGGCTGTGGAAATCAATGGAGATAAGGAGAGATAATGGACGGTTTTAAAAGCCTAGTATAACCAATAAAACATGTTGTTTGATATTGATGATGTATGGTATAGGCTTGATTGAAGAGCATAGCATCTGTATAAATATCATGTTCTGAGCCAGTTTAGATTACATCACTGTAGCATTCACCACAAAATGGAATTCGAAATCACTTCTATGCGTAGAAATTGTCCAGTAATTGTATTAGGCTGTTTGAAGACCTACCTTCTCTTGCTTTTAGCAGTACCGTATTGGCCACAATATTCTCCAGTTCCATCTAAAATCCTTTGATATTAGCTGAATAGATAAAAAATTTAAAAACAAGTCGACAGCAACACCTCGCTCTTCACGGATGAATTGCCGTTCGTTTTATTCCAAATCCGAATAAAATGTATAAATTTCAAACTCGTTCACGGTCTATACACAGGCTATAGGAGAAATCCTTGTAAAATTAACTAGGCATGGTTCATATCGTGGGCTCCGAATCCAGCGTTGGGAGGGCATTTCCATTCCAATTCCGAAGACCGTTGTGTTTCGTGCGTAATTTGGCGCGGAATCCCATCAAAGGATAGATCACGGTTGAGCTATCAATACAGCCAGAGACCACCGCAAGACCTACATCATTTAGTAACGCATTCCTAACAGCGGCTGAAGCACAGCACAGTAGCACTGGGGGGAGTTGGTGAAGTGTACTAGAACATCAACGTGCTCCCCCTCTCGGTGCATAGGCCTAATCAAAAAATGGGCTTGGTTTTTTTCTCTTGGTTTGGCCATCAATATCCCCCACGTTTGGCGAAGCTCCAAGCTGTTTCCCCCGTGTGTCTGGTCAAGATTTCGGTTACATTTGGATATCGTGCAGGGGGCTAAGCGCACAGCCAATGGAAGTTGAGTGATTTGTAGTAGGGGTTCGCTAATCTTCATCCACCAAATTGGTTCCAATATTCAGTTCCACCGCCCGTGGCACACACATCCAGTCGGAAGGGGCGTATTGGGATCTGGCCAATGACGTATGTATGTTGATAGAGGATTGGTTTCCACTAACTTCTATATCCACAAAGTCAGATTCCACAGCCACAAAGTCAAATTTGCTTTAAAAAAATGCTTTTTGGTCTTCATTTAAGGTTAGGGTTAGGCATAAGGTTAGCAGTGTGGATAATGCTGATTCAAAATCACATTTTAAGAAGAGAAATTGTAGAAATGCGCAGGGTTTATTACTTTGTGGTTATAGACACTGATTATCCATTATATTGACCAGATACTCAAGTGGCTGCTCTAACAACGTGGCCCCGTGTAGCTCAGTTGGTAGAGCATGGCGCTTGCAACGCCAGGGTTGTGGGTTCTATTCCCACAGGGGGCCAGTATGAAAAAATGTATGCACTAACTGTAAATCGCTCTGGATAAGAGCGTCTGCTAAATGACTAAAATGTAACAATGGAAATACATTTCTTTAAAAATGGAAGGCAGTCGGGAGGAGTCAAGATCAGGTGGGACCATTCTAGCCAATGAGAGGGCAGATACCGGCTGAACAACAGGAATAACTCCGATATATAGCGTTTTTATTTTAAAAGTTGCCCGGATGTCACGTTCTACGTATATCAGGACACTCATAACAACCTACGCATTACGAAACTTCTATTCGATCAATTAAGCCACACGTAGCATATAAGCAATTACATTTTTTGTTGACCAAATTCAATATTCTCTCATTGACCTCCATACAAAAACTCCTCGCTTGATTAGGAAAGGGAAAAAACGCCACCTGCTGGAGAAGACAGATTTTGGGCCCTGTTTTCCCTCTCTCTTCGCCTATTCCTCTCTGGTATAGACGGTACTACCATAGAGTATGCGTGTCTGGCTGTCATAGACATCTGATAACAGAACATTCTTGCCATCCCCTCTCAATGGAATGCCAAGCGGTAGCACTGAAGATGAAAGACCTTCGTTCAAATGCTGTTTTTCATCTGACATGGTTTGGATAGCCTAAGAACTGCGGTGCATTTATTTCATTGACATAATTATGAAAAACTGATGAAATACAAAATCGTATGATCTCAATATCTCATAGGCCTACCAGTAGACTATATGTATACCATTGGTGATGCTCTGCCTGTCTACAATAGGTTAATATACACTGAACAAAAATATAAATGCAACATGCAACAATTTCTAAGATTTTACTGAATTACAGTTCATATATGGAAATCAGTCAATTGAAATACATGAATTAGGCCCCAAATCTATGGATTTCACATGACTGGGAATACAGATCTGCATCTGTTGGTCACAGATACCTTTACAAAAAAGTAAGGGCATGGATCAGAAAACCAGTCAATATCTGGTGTGACCACCATTTGCCTCATACAACGCAACATAGAGTTGATCAGGCTGTTGATTGTGGCTTGTGGAATGTTGTCCCACTCCTCTTCAATGGCTGTGCGAAGTTGCTGGATATTGGCAGGAACTGGAACAAGCTGTTGTACACTTCGATCCAGAGCATCCAAAACATGCTCAATGGGTGACATTTATGGTGAGTATGCAGACCATGGAAGAACTGGGACATTTTCAGCTTCCAGGAATTGTGTACGGCCCCTTGCGACATGGGGCCGTGCATTATCATGCTGAAACATGAGGTGCTGGCGGCAGATGAATGGCACAACAATGGGCCTCAGGATCTCGTCACGGTGCATTCAAATTGCCATCCATAAAATGCAATTGTGTTCGTTGTCCATAGCTTATGCCTGCCCATACCATAACCCCACCATGGGGCAGTCTGTTCACAACGTTGACATCAGCAAACCACTCTCCCACACGACGCCATACACGCTGTTTGCCATCTGCCCAGTACAGTTGAAACCGGGATTCATCCATGAAGAGCACACTTCTCCAGTGTGCCAGTGGCCATTGAAGGTGAGCATTTGCCCACTGAAGTCAGTTACAAAGCCGAACTGCAGTCAGGTCAAGACCTTGGTGAGGACGACGTGCACGCAGATGAGCTTCCCTGAGACGGTTTCTAACAGTTTGTGCAGAAATTCTTGGGTTGCACAAACACACAGTTTCATCAGCTGTCCCGGTGGCTGGTTTCAGGCGATCCCGCAGATGAAGAAGCCGGATGTTGAGGTCCTGGGCTGGCATGGTTACACGTGGTCTGCGGTTGTGAGGCTGGTTGGACGTACTGCCAAATTCTATAAAACGACATTGGAGGTGTCTTATGGTAGAGAAATGAACATTAAATTATCTGCCAACAGCTCTGGTGGACATTCCTGCAGTCAGCATGCCAATTGCACGCTCCCTCAAAACTTGAGACATCTGTGGCATTGTGTTGTGACAAAATTGCACATTTTAGAGTGACCTTTTATTGTTCACAGCACAAGGTGCACCTGTGTAATGAGCATGCTGTTTAATCAGCTTCTTGATATGCCACACCTGTCAGGTGGATGGACTATCTTGGCAATGGAGAAATTCTCACTAACAGGGATGTAAACAAATTTGTGCACAACATTTCAGAGAAATAAGCTTTTTGTGAGTATGGAACATTTCTTGGATCTTTTATTTCAGCTCATGAAACATGGGACCAACACTTTACATGTTGCGTTTATATTTTTGTTCAGTGTAGTTATTAGTTATGTTGGGAATTTGGCTCCATCACATGGGACACTGGGGGGAGTGTTTGTATTACTTCCACACCTTTTCCCCTTCCATTCATTACTGGAGAAACTATTGAGCAATATGGTATAAAAAACTAAAACATCAGTTGGCCTATTAACACAGAAAGGAGACAAGGGATCCAAATATGATCCAAATTCAGTCAATGTGCCACATGCTTGAAAGTTCTCTGCAGTCGGTGGCCATCTATCACCAACTTTGAATGTTTATTGCATTAGGCCATGGCCACATTGCGATTTTGTGTCTGAAAATTCCAGGAGGAAGCAATTATTTTTCAATAGGAGTCTTCTGTTGCTGGATGAATGACAGAGTTCCTGACAAAAATAACAAATTGTCCATATTGTTATGTACGCAACTAGTCTTAACACGTCCGAAAAAAAGTGGAGATGAGTTGTACTTTTGATGGACAAAAATGGACAATGATGTATGTCATATGATTTCATCCGTGTTCGTGTCTCAGTTTGCCCGTACCCTTTACATATCAACTGCACCATGTAGCCATGGCCTGCATTGTGGGCGGCTCTTTGTCAATTAATTAGGGTGTTTTTGGTTGACCCACAACAACATGTCCACACAATGTCAGTTGAACCTTGATTGTGGAAACCTTAAACAGTCTACTTTCATATCACCCCCAAGTACAAAAGCAACCCTTACTGTTTGTACACTGTTTTACCACAGACTCACCGGAAGAGGTTTACTGTGGCACAGCTTGCACCTGAACTATGACACTTCCAGAACCAATTTAATTTCTACAAAGTGGACTTCAGTATTAAAATAAAACACACTTTATTGGAAAACAAATCTTACCATTACAGTTATGGTCCGTTTACACAAACATAAAGAGTCCATCATTATGTACTATTGACAAAGTTTTAAGTGCTGTGGTATGAAAATCGTATTCAATTGATTTATCGCATCAAATGTAGTCTTGCAGACAATCTAGTGTGTGTGGTCTACCCTCAATTCCTGCATTACGCCAGCCATCAAAGATAACAAAAATGCATCACTTAAATCATTGCTTGCTTTCTAACCAATGAGCCATTATCAAAATGAAATCAGTACAGTATTTAGTGTGACGCTGCGTCATCTACAAAACACACATTCTTCTCCCCATCTCCAAAATAACTGGGGAGTCTAGTATAACAGAGGAAAATAGAACAGAAGTGCCTTCAGTATTCATCAAGATTATCTGCCTTGGGGATGGATAGGCCTCTGTCCTTCAGTGCGGTCACCTTGGCTTTCTCTGTCTCCTGCTTGGCTTGCTGTTGCAATCGCTGCTCCTCTAGGATCTCCTCTATAGAAACCTGCTGCAAGACTGTGTCACATGGCTTATCCATGTCCTAAAGAGGGGAACACCATATTAAACATACTGTAAACCTACATGTCACGCATATCCTGCTGGAGAACAATCGCAGTGGCACACACTTGTAAACCCCAGCAACTGATTATCATCAACTGTGTGTGAACCACGCTAAGTAGGTGACAACTAAAGTTTAAGGCAAAATTAATCATGTGAGCATATTGGAAAACTGCTATACACTCAAGTAACGGGTCTAATCAACAGGCTACTTGAACACAAACACATTACTATGTGTAGACCTACTCTACGAGGAAGGCTAAACAATTACTGATAAAGAACAAGAGGGTGGCATGGATGAACACTTACTATTTCACCAAGCAAAACAACATTCTCTCCTCTCACAATGAAGATTCCTCTGGGGATGTCCCCAAACTTCTTGCCCACATGGATGCGCTCGACTGTTTGATGGAAAACTAGGTTGGCTGAAAGAGAGGTTAAGAGATAGTGAAGTTGATATAATTTCCCCTTTGATTGCCTGAATGTAGCTACTTTTGAATATGTTACATTATTTCAAGGCTTACATAGTAGGTAGCTTAGTAAACTCAACTCCATCTCAATGTATGGAAGATATCCATAGTACAGGGATCTAAACTTGAGCTAACTTAGTATGCCAAGTGGGCTAGTGTGTTTAAACTACTATATGATTATTAGGTGGTTTATTTGCCATACCAAACTGGTCAATGCTTCTAAGAAACCCAATTAGCGTTCTTCCATCACGAAGAAGTACAAGATGTTTTTCTGCAAGAGAAAAATGAATGTTTATAGTTCAGCCACAGCAAACGGATACAAAGTAGCCAATCGTTGTCCCCAACACTGAGTTCAGGATACAATGTTGCAAGGTCGCCCCGTGACGATTGACGACTGAAGAATAAATAGTTACAAGAAGGGATTTATAATAACGGTAACTGTATCTGCTAATCATGATCATCATCAATGTTTTCCGAACGTTGGAAACAGTGCGGACTTGCTCACACTCACACTGCTGCCTCAACTCATCCTAACATTCTCTATCCCTACTTACTGTCTATATCGTCGATGAGACTCGCGGTCCCTGGCATGTAGTTCATTGTGATCGTGTGTAAGTATCTCTGTGGTTTAATTGTAGCTAATCGCTGTGTATAAAATGTATTAAGCCATGAATCGTTCAAAATAAGATCAGCGTCATACGCGTCTCTTCAGCAACACTAAAAAAGCACTTCCGGGTCACAGAATTCCGGACATGTTCAAAATAAAAGTCCACCACTTAGTAGTAGAAAAGTGTCAACAACCGTTATTCTCTCTACAGGAAGCGCAATTGCAGTAATGCACGCCCAGAGAAAGACTTCCTGTAAAATGTTAACCCTTTAAGCGCTGATGGCAAGGAACATTAGAATTGTTATTTTTCTATTTATTCCAATGATCTAAGAAAGATACACTACATGGCCAAAAGTATGTGGACACCTGCTCGTCGAACATCTCACTAATGGGCACTAATATGGAGTTGGTCCCCCCTTTGCTGCTATAATAGCCTCCACTCTTCTGGGAAGGCTTTCCACTAGATGTTGGAACATTGCTGCGAGGACTTGCATTTGTGAGGTCGGGCACAGATGTTGGGCGATTAGGCCTGGCTCGCAGTCAGCGTTCCAATTCATCCCAAAGGTGTTCGATGGGGTTGAGGTCAGGGCTCTGTGCAGGCCAGTCAAATTCTTCCACACCAATCTCAACAAACCATTTCTTTACGGACCTCGCTTTGTGCACGGGGGCATTGTCATGCTGAAACAGAAAACGGCCTTCCCCAAACTGTTGCCACAAAGTTGGAAGCACAGAATCGTCTAGAATGTCATTGTATGCTGTAGCATTAAGATTTCCTTCACTGAAACTAAGGGGCCTAGCCCGAACCATGAAAAACAGCCCCAGACCATTATTCCTACTCCACCAAACTTTACAGTTGGCACTATGCATTGGGGCAGGTAGCATTCTCCTGGCATCTGTCAAACCCAGATTCATCCGTCGGACTGCCAGATGGTGAAGCTCCCGACGATTCATGAAGCTCCCGACGAACAGTTATTGGAACTCCTCTGGAAGGACAGATGTTTCTACGCGCATTAGCACTCTGCGGTCCCATTCTGTGAGCTTGTGTGGCCTACCACGTCACGGCTGAGCCGTTGTTGCTCCTAGACGTTTCCACTTTAAAATAACAACACTGACAGTTGACCGGGGAAGCTCTAGCAGGACAGAAATGTGACGAACTGACTTGTTGGAAAGGTGGCATCCTATGACTGTGCCATGTTGAAAGTCACTGAGCTCTTCAGTAAGGCCATTCTACTGCCAATGTTTGTCTATGGAGATTGCATGGCTGTTTGCTCGATTTTATACACCTGTCAGCAACGGTTGTGGCGGAAATAGCCGAATCCACTAATTTGAAGGGGTGTCCACATACTTTTGTATATATAGTGTATAATATTTATTCCATCAGACCATGTTCTTTGAATTTTGATTGAGTGACAATTAAGGCAAATCTAAGTTTAAGTTACAGCTTTAGATTTAGGACATTGCATGTTTCTAATAATGTAATACTTTTAAATGAGCAGGCCTTTAATTTTCAAGACAAAAAGGATTAGACCCTGCAAACAACTACCACGAATTGTATAGATTTATAACGCCGCTTGGTGAAACGCAGACCCGGTGGCGAGCGTGGTGAAACTGAAAAGACATTGTCTGTCCTTTTGAAGCAGAGTCTTTACCTGTTAGGATATGTCAGTTATCCAGTTATCCAGTGAGAGCTTTTGTGCCGAACCCACTATAGTGTTTCAGATGCTAAGCTTATGGTCATGTTGCAGCAGTGTATAGGAGGGAGATTCCGAGATGTGAAAAGTGTGCAGGAGGACATGGGTCAAAGCAATGTGTAGTATCGGTGGAATTTTTTTTGCTACTGTCACTTGTCGGCTACCACCCAGTTACTCATACCTGCACCTTAGAGGCTGCTGCCATATCTACATAGACATGGAACACTGGTCATTTTAATAATTTTTGCATACTGTCTTATTGATTTCATGTGTACAGTTGTGGTCAAAAGTTTTGAGAATGACACAAATACTAATTTTCACAAAGTCTGCTGCCTCACTTTTGATGATGGCAATTTGCATATAATCCAGAATGTCATAAAGAGTGATCAGATGAATTGCAATTAAATTGCAACGTCCCTCTTTGCCATGAAAATGAACTTAATCCCCCAAAAACATTTCCACTGCATTTCAGGCCTGCCACAAAAGGACCAGCTGCCATCATGTCAGTGATTCTCTCGTTAACACAGGTGAGAGTGTTGACGAGGACAAGGCTGGAGATCACTCTGTCATGCTGATTGAGGTAGAATAACAGACTGGAAGCTTTAAAAAGGAGGGTGGTGCTTGAAATCATTGTTCTTCCTCTGTTAACCATGGTTACCTGCAAGGAAACACGTGCCGTCATCATTGCTTTGCACAAAAAGGGCTTCACAGGCAAGGATATTGCTGCTAGTAAGATTGCACCTAAATCAACCATTTATCGGCTCATCAAGAACTTCAAGGAGAGAGGTTCAATTGTTGTGAAGAAGGCATCAGGGCGCCCAAGAAAGTCCAGCAAGCGCCAGGACCGTCTCCTAAAGTTGATTCAGCTGCGGGATCGGGGCACCACCAGTGCAGAGCTTGCTCAGGAATGGCAGCAGGCAGGTGTGTGTGCATCTTTTGAGGATGGCCTTGTGTCAAGAAGGGCAGCAAAGAAGCCACTTCTCTCCAGGAAAAACATCAGGGACAGACTGATATTCTGCAAAAGGTACAGGGATTGGACTGCTGAGGACTGGGGTAAAGTCATTTTCTCTGATGAATCCCCTTTCCGATTGTTTGGGGCATCCGGAAAACACCTTGTCCGGAGAAGACAAGGTGAGCGCTACCATCAGTCCTGTGTCATGCCAACAGTAAAGCATCCTGAGACCATTCATGTGTGGGGTTGCTTCTCAGCCAAGGGAGTGGGCTCACTCACAATTTTGCCTAAGAACACAGCCATGAATAAAGAATGGTACCAACACATCCTCCGAGGCTACTTCTCCCAACCATCCAAGAACAGTTTGGTGACGACCAATGCCTTTTCCAGCATGATGGAGCACCTTGCCATAAGTCAAAAGTGATAACTAAGTGGCTCGGGGAACAAAACTTAGAAATGTTGGGTCCATGGCCAGGAAACTCCCCAGATCTTAATCCCATTGAGAACTTGTGGTCGATCCTCAAGAGGCGGGTGGACAAACAAAAACCCAGAAATTCATCCCCCTTGGTGTTTTTCCTATTTTGTTGAATTACAACCTATAATTTAAATTGAATTTTATTTGGATTTCATGTAATGGACATGCACAAAACAGTCCAAATTTGTGAAGTGAAATGAAAAAAATAACTTGTTTCAAAAAATTCTAACAAATAAATAAGAGAAAAGTGGTGCGTGCATATGTATCCATCACCTTTGCTATGAAGCCACTAAATAAGATCTGGTTGTCACGTGAATTTCTATCTCTAATTCAACCTAAGCTCGAATCATTACCAGAGGTTGTAAAGCTCTGGTTTTAATCATCAATGATTCAAGGTCCACAATCCACAAGTAATTATCGGTATATTTATTCATGGAGAGCGCTCTGGCGCTAAAAACACATACATACTGTTTTTATACTTCTTGACAAACAAAGGCACTATGCTCCTCCCACCTTTAGGTGGCTTTCTTAAACAGTTCCCGCCTCCTCCTTTACCCTTGAATGTTTAGTACCCCCTCTGTTAGTGGGTTGACACTACATGATAATTCTAACATTTATACTGTATTTGGGGTAAAATCCTTTAGTCATTATTCTTAAAATCCAAATTAATCTAACACTGGTGCAACCAATTACCTTCAGAAGTCACATAATTAGTTAAATAAAGTCCACCTGTGTGCAATCTAAGTGTCACATGATCTATCACATGATCTCAGTATATATACGCCTGTTCTGAAAGGCCCCAGAGTCTGCAACACAACTAAGCAAAAAAATAAGCAAACACGTGAGAGACTCCAAACATATGGAAGAAGGTCAGATGAGATTAAAATTGAGCTTTTTGGCCATCAAGGAAAACGCTATGTCTGGCGCAAACCCAACACCTCTCATCACCCCGAGAACACCATCCCCACAGTGAAGCATGGTGGTGGCAGCATTATGCTGTGGGGATGTTTTTCCATCGGCAGGGACTGGGAAACTGGTCAGAATTGATGGAATGATGGATGGCGCTAAATACAGGGAAGTTCTTGAGGGAAACCTGTTTGTCTTCCAGAGATTTGAGACTGGGATGGTGGTTCACCTTCCAGCAGGACAATGACCCTAAGCATACTGCTAAAGCAACACTTGAGTGGTTTAAGGGGAAACATTTAAATGTCTTGGAATGGCCTTGTCAAAGCCCAGACCTCAATTTTTACATTTACATTTAAGTCATTTAGCAGACGCTCTTATCCAGAGTGACTTACAGTTAGTGAGTGCATACATTTTCATACTGGCCCCCCGTGGGAATCGAACCCACAACCCTGGCGTTGCAAACGCCATGCTCTACCAACATGCTCTACCAACTGAGCTACCCGGGACCAATCCAATTGAGAATCTGTGGTATGACTTAAAGATTGCTGTACACCAGCGGAACCCATCCAACTTGATGGAGCTGGAGCCGTTTTGCCTTGAAGAATGGGGAAAAATCCAAGTGGCTAGATGTGCCAAGCTTATAGAGACATACCCCAAGATACTTGCAGCTGTAATTGCTGCAAAAGGTGTCTCTAAAAAGTATTGACTTTGGGGGGTGAATAGTTATGCACACTCAAGTTCTGTTTTTTTGTCTTATTTCTTGTTTGTTTCACAATAACAAATATTTTGCATCTTCAAAGTTGTAGGCATGTTGTGTACATCAAATGATACAAAACCCGAAAAAATCAATTTTAATTCCAGGTTGTAAGGCAACAAAATAGGAAAAATGCCAAGGGGGGTGAAACCTTTCGCAAGCCACTGTATATACTGTATTCTAGTCAAGTCCATCCTATTCAACTATTGCTGTACATATACATTGCTGTACATATACAATTCTATCCATGTATTCTTCAGATGTACTATATATTCTTTCCACATACTGTCAATGTCTATACGTCCCATCACACACATACAGTGGGGGAAAAAAGTATTTAGTCAGCCACCAATTGTGCAAGTTCTCCCACTTAAAAAGATGAGAGAGGCCTGTAATTTTCATCATAGGTACACGTCAACTATGAC